AACGTATTTCATTGGTTCAAAGGGTGATTGGATCTTACCTCTTTGAAGACGATAACGTCGACTCTGTCACTGCCGATTCGGAGGATTATGGTCGTTTGATAACCGACTTCTCCCTAATATTATCTGGTCAATTGGCCAACGAGATCGAGCGGCTTGATGCCATCGGACTTTGATTTTTTTTTTGAGATACGCGATAATCCTTTAACTCTTCAACACTTTAAAATCACGTTGGCCAAGTTAAGGCTGAGTTGTCGCACAATTTGTGTTCGCAAGTGGTCGAGAATTCCCTCAAATGCATCGAAGGTTGTAGAAATTCGCGACACGGTTATTTGAATGTGCTTTTGTGCTTTACATTAATCCCACGGTTCAAACTTTATATTATATAGCAAAATAGAAATTTCATGAAAAAATTATTTTGAATGTATTTCATTTACGTTCATTTTCTATATCGCAAAATGGACAATGCTGTATAATATATATTATATACGAGTAGACATGTATTGTACTCGTATATCGAAACCAATTTTTTATCTAAAGCAGTACAGTTATTTTTTCATTCTTTTGTGTAAATGTGCTTCTCCATTGTATTGAGCGCCTTGACTTTGTTTTGTGCTTGATTGTTGTCGGAGGTGTGATGCAATTCACTCGTTAGAGCACAAGTTTCACAAAAAAATTGCAAAGGACTTGTCGTAAGATGATGCAGCAACTTGCATTCCTCTTGAGAATTTACAATTGACCAGATATATAAATTATAGAGTATTTCTTTCCCAAATTAGGTGAAAAATAGTACTCAATACTTCCGCCAGACAATTGGCGGAGATTTTAAGTACAAACCGATAAAAAGTGAAGCATGTTTATGTATATACGTATGTACGTGTATGCATTTGGATAGTGAATTCCAACTAAGTAATTGACGAGAGGTTACAATTTGACAATCCTTCCTCAGATAAAAAATGTGAGTTCGGGGAGGGGAAAACTTGACCGTGGCAGCTAGAAATAATGTTTCGTCACTGCCGACCTTGTACTTTTTATTTTGATATGTATGTGATTGCATTAATTTTTTTCGTTAATTTACAAACTGCAAGGACATTTAACATAAATCATAGAAATAAAAGTTTATTTATGCGTAAAATATTGGCGAAAAAAGTATTTTGCATCACCTTTAGAATACGCCTTGCTAGAATAAGAATTATATGCTTCTTATTTGTAGTATTTTAAAGAAATAAGAAAAAATAGCCTACTTACAGGCGCTCTTTATATAAACTTTTACTTTCCCGCATATAGCAGACTAACACTTACGACCCATCGTCACCATGACTACAAGATGTTCATACGTACATATGTAAGAAGATGTAAGAACAGCAATAACAAATTAACACATCATCGTCACCGTTATCGTTTTCATTATTACCACCTCCACCCCTACCAAAAGCCGCCTTTCCCCATATACTATGAACTCAGCAAGAGTGCAGCTGCTCTGGCTCACACATATTTCTACATGTATCAGCTACAGTATGACTACATATTGACAAACACTTGTACACTTACAATATGCCTGACATGGCTGCATTCAACACAGCGCATTTACGTCAAACACTTTTGTGGCAACTTTAAGACAACAAGTACCGCACTTAACCTCATCTTTTGAAATCGGCGCAATAAAAAAGCGTGGAATAAAAATAAGTGATAATATGGAGAAAAAGTGGAAAATTTTTGCAACAGTCAGGCGTTGTGGAGAGAAACATTTTGAGGATAATTCCGTATAGTCACGGACACTCGAGCCACCAGCGACGCGCCGTTTCCTCAAGTGAAAGTGGTTTCCTTGCAGTTCTCCCGCAACGCGTACAAGCTGCCTACCTTTATTGCTCTCCCTTTACTAATTTTCTACCCTTTTTTAGGTTTTTTTTTTTTTTTTGTTTGAATATTACCTTTATTATACTGTGTAAGTGAATTTGTTTTGGTTTCTATTTTTAAATGAATGAAAAAGTTTTTTCTATGTCAGTGTGTATGTATGTGAGTTCTCTATTTAATTTACATATTTAAGTTTTCCGTTAAATGATTTTGAATAGCTGCTGATTCCGTCTGTCTGTCTGTTTGGCGGTGTTGATGAATAGGTGTTGAGCGTGTTATTGCGATTTCTAGATGATTCTACATTTGTACTTTGCAATCATTTTAATAAAAAGCTCGCTGTGTAGAGAAAGTAAGCCGCCTCAAGCCCAGGCTAACGCCAGTGCTTATTATATAGTTATATACAATACAAGTAGAGGCATAAGGACAAATAGGTAATAGGAAAAATAGGTAATGGTAGAGCTTTCTACGTTCCCAAGCCAATCTGCTCTCCAACGAGCACCGTGAAATGCAGATAAATTTAATAAGTGACATGACAATAGCTCTGTTCGGTGGAAAGAAGTAAGAATTAGCCAGTAAGGATATTGAGTGAGTAGCTGTTTTCTCTCCGAAAGACAGAAATTTACTGAGTTTTCATCGCACAGGATTCAGTACAAATTAGCCAGTAAGTTTTACAAGCAGTTTATATTGGCAGTTACATTCGGATCCGTTCATTTATATAGTTTATTGTATTCTGACTTTAGGTATTTATGATAGCAATGTGTTTAACTGACAGTCCTCTGAAAGGACGAAGATTCAAATAAATTTGCATTACAACAATATATCGTTTAGATTTTGAGCAAGGATGATTGGCGGCACCAATAGCCAAGTGGTTAGCATGTCGTGTTGCCATTCAGAAGGCCATGGCTTGAGTCTTGGTTCGATCGACATCCAAAATTATTATTAGTATTTGGACTACAAGTACATTTACGGAAATATAAACGATTTCACTCTCTCTTAGTCCAATGTGCGGTGTGGCGATTAATAAGATTTGGATTACTTACTTTCTTAGTTAAAAGAAATCGTCCAGCACAGACGATCTATTTTCGACCACTATTTGCAGCAATTGAGGCTGACATAACACACCGAATATTCCGTTTCAAGACGTCAATCGCCTCTGGCTTATCTGCGAAGACAAGCGACTTGACATAACCCCACAAAACACAGTCCAGCGGTGTTGAATCACACGATATTTGAGGCTCACGACGTGAGATAATGCGCTCATCAAAAGTTTTCTTCAATAATTTGATTATTTCGTTGGCTGTGTGCCATGTAAGGTAGTCTTGTTGTAACCAGAGGTCATCCACATCAGCAACCTTAAACTCAAGCATGAAGATGTCATTAATCATGGCTCTATAGCATTCCCCTTTGTGACTTTTTGAGCATGTAAAATCCTCTCAAACATGGTTTGTGGATTATCAGCATTCCAAATCTGAAAATTTAGTTGATTAACGTTCCCATTCAACCAAAAGTGAGCTAAATCGCTGAACCAAATATTTTTGAGAAACTCTGTGGATACTTCGCTTTGGGCTCATTCCCCCCAAATCAAGAACCTTTTGCAAAATATTCAAAAAGTGGTAAAGTAAACGTAGCGCAAACCGATCCATGGTTTCTAGGCCACTATGTCGACCGAATTTAGGGCGATGCTTCGTGTGTGGCGGTAATAATATTTCACGATTTATAACGCTGTTCCGGAACAAGTTTGTTCATTATGAAATGGCAAACCAAACGGAGTATAAATCAAGTAAGAAGTGTCAAAAAACCCAACTTCAAAGAAAGTATTACCTATTGAAAACCACACGTCTAAAAATCACTCTTTACTTGAACGGACAGAGCTTAGTGGATTGACATCTGCTGGAAAAATGATTCTGCGTAGTATTTCAGGGCTGCCAGCAATGGTCCAAACTGTACGCAACTTCACTGATATGGTTACGAACAATGGCGCCGGACTTAGACCCCGAGTGCATGTCAGGTATCGTTTACATAGCCACATAAATGCTGTTTTTTCGAATACGGTCTTGTGTTTGGAAGAGCGTCTGCACCTGCAGAGCGCTTCCAAAAGGTTGTGACTGTCGCGGGCTTGAAACTCTTGTATAGCTGTACCTATCATTTATATATTTCTTTTATATACTCACTTACACATATACATATATACATACATAAATCATTAAAGATGTTGTCTATACAAACATGTCTCATTGTCCTTCATTATCCTCATACTCCACCGTTGGCATCATGAATGCCCTTTTGAGCGCATACAGAAAATAACCCAGATTTTCTTTACGGAAGTTATGTATGAATAAACATTTGGGGAACACAAAAAATGAAATGAGATTTCAATATAATCACACAGACTACACTACTGGTTGGTTGTGTATACTCGTACATACATATTTACCACATGCGAATGGGTATGAAAACGCATTACCAATATGGTTTGGCACAGCTGTAAAGATGGCAACAAAGCGGCAATTCATTCATAAGCGAATGAGGACATTGAACTTCCATATACATATGTACATACATTTATATACATACATACACATGTACATATATACATATTTATGCATTGAAAATCAGTTTTCTCAGATAGGTAACGGCCACAAAATAAAAACAACAAACAAAGGAAATATGCTTTTTGTCATGAATGGAGAATTTGAAAGTGAAATAGCCGCTGAAGTGGAGAGCGAGAGTGACTTACGACCAGTTAAGGACTATTTTAGTACAAAGTGAACTCCTTTACATATAATATTTTGCATAAACGTATACATACACATATACAAATTATATATAAACGAGTACATATGTATGTGCGCACAAAACACAGTTGGGATCAACAGGCTTACGGTGTGCTGATGGTGAATTTTGGCCGTTAGTACACGTAAGACACACATTCACACTGGAATGCTTTGAGGACTTTGGTAGTGTCGGTGCCACCTACGCGGGTTTGTTGACAAACAAAAGTGCAACACGTGCTGTTATGAATGACCATTTGTTGCTGAAGCCTGCGAACCACTTTTAAGATTGAGTAATGCGCATGCACCAAAGTTTGCGTTAACCAGCTGTCAAAACTGTCAGTGGCGCTTCCTTTTTTCATTTCTGTTTAACGAAAAGAGCTGAAATATTGATTTTTGCCGCACGTCATCAAAGTTGATGCTGAATTGCTGGAGGGTGAAAGTAGTGAAACCATAACATCGAAAAAAAATATACAAACCTTCGTAATTAAAATTAAAGCAAAATTTCAGCTCAACTTAAGTAATACAACCAAAACTCAAGAGCAAATAGTTCCAAAACATTTAAGATTGATAAAACGTTGCCTACTTGGGGGCGTACAAGAGCCAGTGTAATTGTTGAGTGCATCAAATATAGTTTGTTGTTAACTTTTTGTTTGCCCTCTCCGCACATCCACAGTCAACATTGGCGCAGTTGTAGTAAATGCTAATGGGCAATACGCTGAGCCGCAAGTGAAAAGTAAATTTAAAAACTAATCCACGATGATTAATATGCGACCATATGTGCCATCGAGCCGCGTCGCAGTACGTGACTCTATCGACGAGGAGATAAGTGACGATATTGAGGACGACGTTTTCATAAAGGATGCACGCTCCGCCAAGGCAAGTAGATTTTGATCGAAATGTTGAAATAACGTTAAATGTTTTCCTATATGCCGCACTATAGTTAAATGAAGAGAAGGGTCTCAAGCGGCCGCTTATGGCACCAAGACGCAAAAACGGCAAAATGCATAATTCAACACCGATTATGATGAAGCATCGCAGATTCCGGCGTTACTGCGAGCCTTTTTTTTACGGCTTGCTGACTATTATTGTGTTAATCATCATCACGGTGGTCGGAGGGTACATTCTTGCTATGGTTCCTGCGTCTATGCAAAGCCTTAAAGGTTGGCTAAGCGGTGGTCCTGTCACTAGTACGGGCGTAGGGTTCCAGCCCTGTCAGCAGATTAGAGTACAACGCATTTGGACGCAAAGATTTCCACGCATGAATAGCGAGAGCCCTGTGCGGAAGGCCGATTTAAATGGTGATGATATTGAGGACATAATTTTCGGTTTTGGTGTTGGTAGGTTTTTTTTTGAATATCCGGCAATTGTTGAGAAATTGAATTTCGTTTCTGTTTCTGCAGATGACAATATTCAGTATGAAGGATTTGCGTTGCCCAAATGTAAGTCTGCGCAAGGTGGGGACGAGGTGCCTTGTGAGGGTGGTGTTATCGCTGTAAATGGCGCCACTGGCAGTTTGCTTTGGCAGACGTGGAGTGTGGCTAATGTCTTCTCATTGCTATGTACCTTGGACATAAATATTGATGGCTATCCGGACTGTGTAGCTGCAGGAAGACTGGGTGTAAGTTGTTTAATGTTGGCACTAGTGAAATAAAATCCGTTTATATTTTGGGTTTATTAATAACAATAACAGTCTAATGGTTAGCATTGAGTACTACAATTCCCAAGGTTTTGAGTTCTGGTCTGATTAAAACCATTCAAAATCACAAAAAATTCAACAAATTGGATGAGGAGCTCCAGTTATGCATATAATCAATAAATCTCATAATAATTAAATCGAGATTCCTTTCTAATGTGACTCGAGTGGAATGTTGCTTTACAGTTATTTTTCGAAACTCGAAATAATGAGAATATTTGTCCACCATTTTTAGCGGGTTTTGTAAATTGCCTGTCTGAAAGGATTGTCGGTTATGCCGTATATTTATCCAAGCGAAGGCAAACTTTTATCATAAATATACCACATTCTTTCACAGATGATTTTCGCCATAGACGGACGTAGCGGCAACAGTATTTGGGAATTTCGTGAGATGGAGGTTGAAACAAACTCTCCAATTGTAATGGATCTCTACACGATTAATGTGGTAAGAGACTTGGATGGTGATGAAATCTCCGATATACTCGCCGCACATCTTGAGGAACGTGAAGAGTCTAAAGCCGGTCACATTAAATTGATATCTGGTAAGACGGGCAAAGTTGTACGCAGCATACCAACCCCGTACAGAGAGGAAGTTTTCGTACCATTACAAGTGATTACAAAAGAGGATGGAACTGAACTGCTAATGGTCATTACTGGTGGCCAAAATACACCTGGCGGTATTTACACGATACGTTTACTATCACTCATGCAATTTACGAGCGAAAAAGAATTCACTCCACTCTTTCAAAGTAAACACTCTGGTGTGATGGTACCGGCGGTTGTGACGGATATAACTGGAGATCACGTTGCGGACATTGTGGTGGCTTCGTTTAATTCATCGGTATACGCGTTTGATGGCCGTAATTTTAGTATGCTTTGGAATTACACGTTTGCGGCGAGTGAGAGTGTCAGCGCCATTGTGCCGGGTCATTTCAATCTCGACAATGTAACCGATTTTATGGTGAAGTACAGTACTGGTCCGGGTTTTCCAGTTTACTATTACTCCCAGACCACTATACTGGATGGCAAAAACGGCAAACCCCTATTGGGTGGAATACTGACAGACTCTGGTGGTTCCAACAGTTTGCTTGGCGGTGTCTCGGTATCTCAAAGTTTTGGTGGCGACTTCTTTTTTCATTGGCAAATGCAGTGCAAGGATAAATACAATGCTAAGGATGCATATGAGTTCATACCAGGTGAGAGATTTGGAAAATCATAAAGGAATTTAGCTTCACGTAATTTAGTATTGAAATGTTTTAGAAAGTGACATTATCTTACAATCACGAGCTGATACATGCCGTTTGCGGTACAATACGACGACGGTACTGAAACTTTATGCAATAGCAGATGGCATCATGCCACCGGGTGCGGTAATTTGTAGTACAGGTGGGTGAAGAATTTCTGTGCGGAACTTATAAAACAAAAAGTTTGAAAAGTCGTGATAATTTTCCGCAAATATTTTATTTGTCCTTCCTTAATAGACGACATTGAGATTCATCTGAATCGCACTCAACACCCGCAACATGCCAAACCGAGCCCGAAGTCCGCATTGAAACACCCTAAGTTATTGAAGAAGCTGCTGGCACATAGAGAGGACCTATTGAAAAAAATTGCCGTCGGTGCTGACATAGAGAAGTTGGAAAAGTTAACAAAAAATCAAAACCCAGCACATTACAAGGAGAATTCGTTGAGAAATCCTATATTTGCTCAGGAAGGGTTTCAGGAAGTCATGCCAAATAATGAAGTACCGGCGGAAAATATATATGAAGCTGTAAAGCAAAATGGCTATAGTAATTACTTTAGCGGCGCTTACGGAGCTAATGGAAACGAACAATTACGTCAACCGGTAGCTTCTTCTTCCTGTGCTAACTTTCTATCAATCTGCATACATTTACTTGTACATACATATATATTTATATTTTTCTAGTTAAAAGATTACGAGTCCCTGGTGGGTGCACACGGTCCTGATGACTACGATTCTAATCTCTACGTAGACAACGAAGTGCCGCAATTGGTGCCACAAAATGAACATCCCATACGTTTGCGTACAAAATATCCTGGCAATCGCGATGTGCGTAGTGACATTACATCCTTTGAGGATGAGCAAAACGTTTCGCATACCGTACCAACCGGTGGCGTGCCGCAAAATAGCCTGGACAAGCAAGAACCTTATAATCTGTGGGATCTCGAAGTGGAGAAAGAAGAACAGGATGCAATCGAAAGATCCAAAAATTGCGATTACTCGACAAATCCAGATTCATTGAGGAGACGGAGGGATACCGCTGCTCAAGCGGAGTCTGACGATAATATGGAAACAACGTCAGATGGACCGCCGAATATTGGTGAATCCGATGAGTGGTTCCTGGCTTCAATATCATCGACGGGCGTGTTATTGAAGTCATTGAATGGTACTCGATCTTCGGTGGATTTCGCTTTTGTCTTGAACATACGGGAGTCAGAGACCTACCCACCACTCTTTTTACCGCAGGATCTTAGTTGTGTGGAGGAGAAGATAAGTGCATATAAAAGTAGGTCTCGCGATTGCATTATAAATTTCTTCATATATTATATCATAAATTTGTGTTTTTATAAAACTAGGTTACACAGAAGACAATCTACGTATACTGCGAAAACAATTCTTAAAGCAATGTCTAAGCGATCGTTTAGTTGACGTTACACCGCAAGTGCCGAAATATGAATCGCAGATAATCGTCACTCGTATTGGTATCACCTGTACATGTTCCTGGTTACCATCGCATATGATTTGCTCTGAGCTGGATGATATACAGACGCAACGTTGGACTGGTTATATGGGCAATGATGGGCATGGTTACTACGCCAATTAAATTTAAGTGGTGAATAAGGTATGAAATGAAAATATGAGAGGTAGTTGGTGGAAGAGTGTTTGTGTATACAGTAAAGCCATTTAAGCACAAACTTAGTTTTAAAACTGTTTTTATTGCAGTTTATTTCCCAATCGCGCAACTTCATATTCGTATTGTTTGTTTTTATGTGCAAATTTAAGTCTACAAGTACAGATCGGGAACTTTCTCATTTTGAGGTCAGGAATTTTATATTTATACTTTGAAAATATAGCTAAAAACTACTACACAAAATAAAAATTTTAAAGGTATAAATGATAAAAAAATGCATTGAATTTTTATTATTATATTTAAAAACTTTTGTTTCCCTTTCTTTGTTGATTTGGACTAGGGTTATTAATGATTTCGATAAAAATATGTATATACATATACCCTCTATAACTGCTACAAGAAGTTTTATTGTGAATGCCTAATTTATGATGCATTCACACCGACATGACAGCTGTGTGTCACACATTCTTGTCTACAATAGGGCGACGTTGACAGGATTCAACGGCGATAGCGAAAAACATTGCGATATTATTCCAAACAAAATACAGTAAATGTTCTGCTAATAAAAACAAAAAACATTAAAAATTAGTCGGAAAAGATGGGTATCTTGGAGAAGATCTCGGAAATAGAGAAAGAGATTGCGCGTACTCAAAAAAATAAAGGTAAGTTTCGTAGAAGTGGTACGGTGTGACCGTGCTCTGCTGGCAAGTTCTTTTCATTAGTGCATACTAAGCGCTTGTAGGTTAACTCAAGTAAAAAGTAAATAAACGATAAATATGATAAAGGATAGCGGAAGATTTGAACCACAGAGATAATATTAAAATATATTTTATTAACAGCGACCGAATATCATTTGGGACTTTTAAAAGCGAAACTTGCCAAATATCGGTCTCAATTGTTAGAACCATCTAAAAAGGGTGAAAAGGGTGAAGGTTTCGATGTGCTGAAAAGTGGTGACGCACGTGTTGCATTAATCGGCTTTCCGTCAGTTGGCAAATCAACTCTTCTCTCTACGCTTACCAAAACAGAATCGGAGGCGGCAAATTATGAATTCACAACGCTCACCTGTATACCAGGTGTTATTGAGTATAAGGGTGCAAATATACAATTACTTGATTTGCCTGGAATTATAGAAGGAGCTGCGCAGGTAATTTATTTATTTTTTTTAAATTTATTGCATTTCATTAAAAAAGTTAATTGTTTCCATTAGGGCAAAGGTCGTGGTCGTCAAGTTATCGCCGTAGCACGTACTGCTGATTTAGTGATCATGATGTTGGACGCCACCAAACCGAATGTTCATCGTGATTTACTCGAGCGCGAATTGGAGTCTGTAGGTATTCGTCTCAACAAACGAAAACCAAATATTTATTTTAAGCAAAAGAAGGGCGGCGGCCTTAGCTTTAACTCCACTTGCTCACTATCGCGTTGCAACGAAAAAATGGTGCAAACGATTTTGCACTCATTCAAAATTTTCAATGCGGAAGTATTATTCCGGGAGGACTGCACTGAAGATGAATTTATCGATGTGGTCACAGCGAACCGTGTATATTTGCCCTGCTTATACGTGTATAATAAAATCGATCAGATTTCAATTGAGGAAGTCGATCGCCTGGCGCGTCAACCGAATTCTATTGTAGTCAGTTGCAACATGAAACTTAATTTAGACTATCTACTCGAAGCATTATGGGATGCCTTACAATTGATAAGAGTTTATACAAAAAAACCCGGTGCACCACCAGATTTTGATGACGGTTTAATTTTGCGAAAGGTATTTTAAAAGCTTATAATATTCTATTGAAATGCTAAATCGTGGTTTTCATTACAGGGTGTTACGGTGGAGCACGTATGCCACGCTATTCATCGTACGCTTGCAGCACAATTTAAGTATGGACTGGTGTGGGGCACTTCCACAAAGTACTCGCCACAACGCGTTGGCATATCGCACATTATGGCCGACGAAGACGTTATACAAGTTGTTAAGAAATGATAAATACTTCTGACCTATACATATTAGACATTTGCGTTGAGATTGTGTTAAATGTTGATGCATTGGCAAATTGTAGGCCTTCCTTAAATACATACATATATCTATATATTTAAAAAACTTGTTCATACAGTTTGAGAGTCAAAAAATACTTTTATATGCATTTCAAGAAATGTTAGAAAGAAATCGTGAAAGTTGGAAATCGCTTGCTAAATACACACAAAAGGTTGCTAAATAAAATTTTTGTTTTCCATTTAAGTGCCCCTTAACCAATGTGGAATGGAGAGTTCTCTTAAAGCCCCAACAAATTAATGCGACACCTGTGTCGAATAACAGATAAATGAGGGAAGATGAAGTATTTTAAAAATTTATCAAGTGTTTATTTCGAAATCGGCGAGTTTTAAAACTACAAATCATTACAACAATTTTGTGAAGTTGCAAATGCCAGGCATATACGTTATTTTTTAACTGCAATATATTAATATATATTACTTGGCACCCGCTGTTGCAGCCGTCCCACTTCCTCCAGGCGCTACTGCTGCTGAGTTATTGAAACTTTTGCCGAATGCACTCATCGCTGAAATATTGGAGAATGGTGTTGGTCCGCAGGTAATATTTGTCGTGTCGATTTTATTTTCTGGGTTATCAATCTTTGCAAACACATTAGTTGTGTCACGTAAACGGTACTTTCGTAAATTGAGGTACTGCTCTTTTTGTGTCTCAACTTTTTGATGCAGCTCATGTAAACGCCCTGCAAGTGAGATAAAACTTTCGTTTATTTGTCGGAAGCCACGCTTCAGATCATCGGGGGAAACTGCTTGCGGATTTGTTAGTGAACGCATATGATGTTCTGTAAGAGCTATTTGCTGTCGAAAGTTGATTAAATCCTGTTCGTACTTCGCGACCAAACTTAAGAAAAATTGGAAAGGTGCTGTATTTTCAAATTGAAGTCCTGCCGGTGTATCTTGTGTGCGTTGGGCCATTTCTACTGCTTGAATAGTTCTAGATGTTTCTTTCCGGAGTAGTTTTATTTGTTTGTAGTTTGTGTTGACCGAGTTGGAAATTTCTTGAAGCGCCCACTGAATGTTGTTTATTTCGTTAGACACATTGGACAATTTTGAAGTAGATGTACGTCCTATATCAGAGGATAATGTTTTTTGTGCTTTTATATGACTTTTTAGAGCGTCCACGGTTTTGGCAATCTCATCAGGCACAAGTGTCTCTTTTACCTAAAATTTCAAATTTAGGTTAGTTAAAGAAAATAATTTTTGATAATATTGCAGCATTACTTTTACCTTTACGTTATCCTGTTTCAAATCCCCAGCTTTTGGCTGTGTGGCGCTTACATCAACACCCCCCAAACCAACAAATGGTGTAGCAGTTGCTGTAGTCGAAGTTGAGGTTGGCTTCCACATGCCACCTGACGCAACAGAAGTTGTAGTTGTACCGAAATTTAAACTTGCCGATGTGGTTGTCCCTGCGGGCTTTCCAAAACCCAGACCGCCACCTAGCCCACCGAGGCCGAGTGCAGGTGCTGTGGATGTAGCTGTCGTTGAGCCAACGGCACCACCAATGCCGCCAAAGCTAAAGCCTGCGCTATTCGCAGCAGGAGCACTTGTAGCTGTACTTCCTAACCCACTGAAATTAAATGATGGCGCGGCGCTACTTACAGCAGTCGCTCCGAAGGCTGGGGTTGCTGCTGCGAAGGTGGGTGCTACAGAAGCAGCTGGTGCAGCACCGAACGTAGGTGCCGCTGTAGTAGTATTCGCACCAAATGGTGTAACGGCCGCAGTTGGGAGAGTGGCTGCACCGAACGCTGCCGCTTGTGTGGTTGCTGCGGTGCCAAAGGCAGAAGCAGCTCCAAAGGCTGGAGCCGCCGCAGTGCCGAAACTTTGTGTATTTGCAGCTGTTGCTGCTGCCGATGTCGGTGCATTGAAACTAAATCCTGTAGACGGCTGAGAGGGATTTCCAAATGAGAATCCAGACATGTTACGGTATTGATTCTTTAACTTAAGGTGTACTTGTGAGTAAATTCAAATTTTAAAATTTTTTTGGTAATATAATTTAACTATAAATAATTTAACAAGTTCACGAAATTTGTTTCCACTTTCTGCGCGTGCCTTTGCGGAATGTATTGAAATTGACAGTAGATATGGAATAGTCAAACACGATACAAAAACTATTGTGAATGATTCATTTATGCCAATTAATTTTCAGTGTCGCATCCACCAGAAGGGTTTAGTATACTACAACATAATTATTTTATTAAATTTAATATTAAGTGATATGAAATGCAAAATATAAAATATAAATTATATAAAATATTTAATATAACAAAAACTAAAATAAAATAAGTTTAAATAAAATCATAATATTGAAATAAAATAAATTAAAGTAAATTAAAATAATCTAATAGTAATCAAATAAAATGAATTAAAATAAGAACAATAAAATGAAATAGAATCAAAAAAATAATATAAAATAAAATAAAATGAAATGAAATAAAATAATATAAAATAAAAAAAAAAAAAANAATAATATAAAATAAAATATAATAAAATAGTATAGAATAAAATAAAAAAATAAAATAACATAAAATAAGATAAAATAAATAATAAAATATTAAATAAAATAAATTAAAAAATAAAATAAAATAAAACATGAATTTATATCATTATTTAAAAAAATAAATAAATAAGCTGTGAGTGCTAAGCGCAATAAATGAACTCAAAGGAATGTTGTCAGATATATCAAATTTAGCAATTCCCTTATTACTTTGGCCAGGAGTAAGTGCATGAATCAGTATCCAAGCCTGTTCAAGTTATAAAATCTTTGCATTGGCTTATCTGTGACAATGCCGTAACCGAATGGTGTCATAAAGCGGAAGCGGAACTGCGCTTTTACTTTCAGTAGGCTGCTTTCATATCTCCAAAAGTTGATTGAAAGTGTGAGAAAAGAGGATGCGGTAAACAAATCCTTTCATGTTTATAAGCATTTAACTCCTTCATCTGAAAGTTTCCGTCAGTAAACAAAAGCGTTGCTGGCACAGAGCGGCAGTCAACTGAGCGCATGGGTAGGTATGTGAGTACATAATCAGGCGTACTTGCTTGTGAAAATAATTCAAGTCGCGTATAAAATGCTTAAAGAATTTTTCCCATCCAAGACCAGCATTTGGATAAAGATTATGTGTATGTATATATGTGCCATGCCATTATCCGCGTGAATTTGAGCGCAAAAAACGCCCCATTACGATATAACAAAGATTATTATTTTGTAATGCTATTTGTAAATTTGGCGCTTTGCTAAACGCCCAAAATGTATATATGTACATGTGCACGTAGTGGGTTGTTGGGTATCGAATTCTTTGCTTGGAGCAGAAGGTGGGAAGGCGCATTATTATTATAGCAGTTATTATCGCAAAATTATGCTTAGAAAAGGGTGATAGATATTCGTGGCAGTGATGTAGGGCACGGAAGAGGGCAGGACTTAGCCAAACGGTTGCTTTTTTCAATAAAGTTAGGGGAAGCTTTGATAATTTAATTGTGTGGAAATTATTTTTTTACATTTTCAAAGATTCAAATTGTTGTTGGTAACTCTCATTTAAAGTTTTAATATGTACAAAGGTTGTATTAGATACCAGCGAACCCAGCGAGCTTCGTCTCGATTCAATCCTATGCCTATGTATTAAGTCTAGAGTGAAATGAAGATAGTTCTAAGTTTTTTGCGGTTTATTTAAATGAAATCGAAATAGAAGAAGATAGATCAGTATGGCAGACGTCGATTAGGTTCTCGGCACAATAACAAACAACTATGACGTATTCTTCCTTCATTTCCTTCTTTGATTATCACAAGTGTTCTGACTAACTATTGCCCGAACAACTAAGTTTTAGGAAAGAAAAGAAGAACATTTATCTGGACAAAAGTTCAAGTAAATCGAACCATTAATACGATTTTTTGGAATAGATCGATCTGAGATCCACTTCCCGGAAGAGAAGGTGTTAATTTAGGCCACCATGTATGTATCAAATTTGAATTTGATTTTTCCAAATAAGCCGGTCCCTGATCCATTTTCCGTATTTTTCTTGGGTATTCCTCTGGCTTGGAAGGAGACAAATCGAATTGACTTGAAATTTTGTCAGGGTCGAGAAATGTCGATTTACTTGACATTCGGTACATTGATAACTTAGCAGGGAGGCGACTCTGCTCTTTGGGAATTAGAGCAGCGACCGAGCTATTCGAAAATAATTTATTTATAATTCTTTTACTTGGAATTGTTTTTTTCTTTTACGAAAAAGAGATCGATCTACACATATATGAAAAGCAATATAAATGAATAGTTTGGATTAGTTAAATTTTTGGATGAATGCTTTCGTTTCCTGGAAATAGACCAGAGGCCTGTAACAAAGTTCGAGTTGCTCGAAATATAAATAAAACGTTCTTTAGCAGAAAGGGATCCGCGACAGATTGATAAAAATTAGTATGATTTGGATATAAGCATAGATCTTGAGTGGGTATACGTGTATGCGCTTCGCTTATTTATCAATCTGCGGCTTTGAGCTAATAATCGTAGGGATACGAATGGTGGGTTGGGCTTAAACGTTTATAAATATATACACCCAATAATAGATATTTAAATAATCTTACCTTTATTAATTATTATAAACGATATAATTTTCATCCCTCCAAACATACATACATATGTCTACATCTCATAACCATTACATGATATTTATATTATAATCAACCAGAACTTACTTCTTTTACTGGCGTAGACAGCGCTTATGCCAGCTCCTTCACTACCTGGTCTTTCCAACAGAGTGGAGGTCTTCCTCCTCTGCTTCCACCGGCGGGTACAGCATCGAAAACTTTTAAAGCTGGAGTATTCTTGTCCATCCGAACCACATGACCAGACAGCTTAGTCGCCGTATACCGGTGTATATCTCACACAGCTCATCATTCCATCGGCTGCGGTATTCCCCATTAGCAACTCATATGAATAGTTTGGCTTTCATTCGTGGAGAGAGGACTCTACTTTTCAGTTGCCTACTTAATCCAAGGTAGCACCTGTTGCCAAGAGTGATACGTGCTGCCGGAAACCGCTTTAAAATCGACGAAAAGGTGGTGTGTGTCGATCCTTTTTTCGCGGAACTTTTCCAAGACTTGGCGCATGGTGAATATCTGGTCAATGGCCGATTTACTAGGTCAAAATCCTCGCTGATAAGGTATAATAATCAGGTATAATCATAATAATTGTTGACGGTGGATTTTAGTCTTTCACATCGATTGGGATTTTGGGTTCACCTTTTCCAGATTCTCCATTTTCACTGGCACGCACGTGTTGTGGTGGATCGCAAGGTTCCCAGGTAGGCAGTCTGCTTTCTCTCCACTCCTCAGAAGGGACTTTTTATTTCATGCCGGAAATACACTCGAAGCGTTTTGTATATCGTTTCAGTCAGTACTCGAGCTCATGACCTTCCGCATGATGGATGACACACTTTTAATCACTTAACTACTGCGTCGTATATAAACATACTTTTACTAACAGTAAAATTCTGTCATTTAAGTCAGAAAATTTTTGCGTAAATATGTAAGTATGTATGCCCATTGCTCGTTAACAAAGAGCCACCATCAACATTTTACTATCCGATCTATTGTTTCTTGCACAGTCATCGGTTTTACTGCTTATTTTCCTTTTAACGTTTCGTTGGACATAATAATCGTTTGGATTTTATGTGCATTTCATTAGCTGGTCATGGGAAATAGAATTCTTCTCACTAAGGACGCGGGCGTAGTTAAATGGCCTATGTTTGTATGACATGTTTAAATATGTATGTGTGAATACGCGTATGTAAGTATAGTATGTAGTTCGTGAAATGCAGCAAAAATAACCGCAATATGAGAGTTAATTAAATGCGAAATGGAAATCCTATCGATGAGATTCACACATTGGCAAAAGGGATGAAACGAAATGGGCTTCTCACCACGAGTAAATGGCAAAACAACTAAATGTGGCAAAATGAAATAAAAAATTTAATATCTCTGCGGTAAATCGGTAAATGGTCTAACTGTAAGTTATTGACTTATTTGCTATTATTGCTTAGCTCTTCCTTTTTTGCTTTAATTAGTTTCCTTTCTTTATTTTCTTGAATCTCTTGACATAGCAATATCTTCATTGGAGAAATTTGCTCCGTTATGAATAATTATTATTATTGTATATATAATATAACACATACATATAATAAATAAGTTTATTCAATTCTTATCGCTACGACAATAGAGAAATGGAAACACAACAAGGACAACGTTTTATCGATATTATCCCTGTTTTGAGTGCATAAGTTCGTGCCCGAATCCGCTGGATGCCGTTCGAATGGTTTGAGAGTGGCGATCGTGAAAGAAATATATACATATTAAATATCGTTGGAAAGGTGACAGTCCGAACTGTAAATCAAGCATAAAATAACTTCATTTTCATTTGAGTTGCTTAGTGAAAAGACGCATGGAATATGGACAACGAAAAAGATCATATGCGTCATATTATGTTTTACGAACTCCGCAAAGGAAAAACAGTAGGCGCTGCAACTAAAGATATTCGCGAAGTTTATTTGGACCGTGCTCCAGCACTCCGCACAGTAAAGAAATGGTTCGCGAAATTTCGTTCTGGAGATTTTAACCTCGAAGATCAACCTCGCAGTGGACGGCCTTCTGAGCTTGATGACGATGTTCTAAGGACTTTAGTTGCGAATAACTCACGTATTTCGACGGAAGAGGTTGCCAGTGAATTGAACGTCAACAAATCAACTGCGTTTCGTCGTTTAAAAAAGGTTGGGTACACTTTGAAGCTCGATACATGGGTGCCACATCAGTTGAGTGAAAAAAACAAAGTGGACCGTATGTCAACAGCAATTTCTTTGCTTCGACGGATCAAAAACGAACCTTTTTTGGATCGGCTCGTGACTGGTGATGAAAAATGGATCCTGTACAACAATGTTCAACGCAAAAGAACATGGAAACAGGCACACGAAGGGGCGGAACCGATGTCGAAAGGTGGATTGCATCCGATGAAGGTACTGCTGTGCATTTGGTGGGATATCCGAGGCGTGATCTATTTTGAGCTCTTGCCAGCTGGAGAAACGATCAC